CAATGAAAGCAAGAGGCTCATGTGTTCAACTCTCACTTGAATCCCATTGCATTCACATGAAGAAGAATTGACAGTACAATGAGAAAGGAAATATAAATCTGAACTTTTTACATACCTTCTAATATGGTTAAGAATTAAGTTAATTTATTTCAAATGTGACATAACATGTTAACAAGTACAATGGCAATCCCTCATTTAACTGAGTGAAGGGAAGAACAGTATATTTTTGTGAATTAATTTTTAATTATGAAGAAAACCATTGAAATACTGCATCTCTATGCATCTCCTTCATGGCTGTGAAATTATTCACTCCCTCTACCCTTTATACATTAAAGGTCTTTTAAAGATCAATTTAGATCTCTCCAAAAGTGTCAGCATTTATGAAAGTTAAAGTTATAGCCCACTTTAAAGTTTCAGATTAATTTACTGATGTGTTTTATATATCATTCTCCTAAAAGAACAACCAGAACAACCCAAAACAATTTTGAAGCTTCAATAGTTGTGGTAACAACTGCACTGTTAAATGCAGAATCCTCTTGATAACTTTCCAATAATAAAATGAAACTTGGAAAGCCTTGAATCTTTGGACAATGAATTGCTAAAAAACTAGTTATTAATGGATCAAACACATGAAATAACTTCAAATGAAACTTGAAAAAGGTTTAAACTACAATTTTAGCAGCTGAAGAGGGCTTGATGACAGACTGACAGAAAACAAAGCACATACTTGCCTTCTGTCTTTAAGGTCAACAAGGATTTAACAAATAATTTTAACAATCTATGAGTATGAGTAAAATTGTGAACAGAGGAAGAAAAAAAAAATCAGTGAACATGAAACAGTAATACATTTATACCCACCTAATCCTGTCTGATGCAATGAAGAAATAGAAACAGTGTGATAAGTTTTATATTAATATGAGAAATTTATCTAGGAGGTGATGTACTTTTGTTAGTCACAAATTTTTTGAGCATATGTTTACATATCTAGTACATGTACTGATAAAAGATGTCCGTATATTATGTAAAATATATATATGTAACATAATCTGCTAACAAACATATGCAAGAAAATGAAACAAGGGACCAATTGCAAGTGGTACCTTTAGTTTTTATAGGAAAATTTTTTACAAAAAAATATGTGTGTAAATGAAACCACATACCATGGTGAAGAGAGTGCAGGCAATACAGAGGGATCCGAACACAGCGATAACAATGTGGACCTGGTCGTGCTCGGTGTCAGTAAAGAGTGGATTCTGACAGCGAATTCCGCAGCCCTCCACCTCACTATACCAGCTCTTCTGGTTCTCCGTCCTGACCAGCGGAGAGTTACACTGACCGGTCATGTCAAACGTGATGTCATCATAGGTGTGACTCTGACCCTAAAAATACAGTTACATGGTTATAAATTTAAGGAGGAAAAAAATAATATTGTTAAATTTGAAAAGAATTAATCCCTTCCGAATTTTCCAGAGGTAATGAAGTGCCTGGATAACTGAAGAGAAACTTCAATAATTTATCGTAGATAATTATGTATTTCTCCAGAAGGTGAAGTGACCAGATTACTGGTGTCTGTTTTAATGATGCTCCACTGTATGTGTTTTCAATATTTATTTATTTTCTAAGGCTGATCTTTCAATAAGAAAATTGCAATAAAGCAACAAAGACTTTCTAGAAAGGCAACATATCAAACCATAAAAAAATATAGAACTATTTCTAGTCAAAAATAATCCATGCAGTCAATACATCAAAATGATATTAATATTTTATTTTTCAATTATATGCATTCTTTCACTTAATTCTGTTGTCGGTATTTTTGTTGTGTTTTCCCCTGTTGGCTCATCACATGTTCACAAAACGCAGTCACTATAAATCAAATTATAGCCAAATGGCTTGCATTGAAATATGATCAACAAACAGATAATAAGGTTTTGAAAATTGTGCCTAAACATACGACATTTCAGAGAAACTTTGTATAAGTTTTTCCTGTTCATATGAAACATAGATATGTACATGATATGTATGCATAAGCAATTAAGATTTTTTTAAAGGATTATTTTACAGGAGAAAATTACACATTTCTGAGAGTACTCAGTTACTCTTAACTAATCATGCTAGTCCTTACATTGTTTTATATTGAACTGAGAGACAACACTAAACTGCTTCATTACAATTTTCTTTGAATGCTTCATCATGACACTATTGAGCTTGTCAATCAAACGTTTCTTATAGCATTCTTGTGGGTAATAAACAAAGGGATGTCACTCCTGCTATTTTGGCCTCATTCCTATTAAGTATATCAGGTAGGCATATAGATATATCTATCAATAAACAAACTTAATGAACTATGGAAACAGAGTGACTCAGTTGAACCCAGAGAACTCCACCTATCGCAGATACCATCCACGGGTCTATTATTAACTCATCCCGTTTTGTCAAAGGAGCATTGTTTGTGAGATTTAAATGCTCTTAGGAGTCGTGGTCGCAAATGTGGAATTTTAACTAACGTTGGTGAAAGCCTAAGCACACAAAAGACAAGATTTCCAATTTCTCCCATTATCTGTTTTTGAGAGGCATTTAAATTCCCCCCAGTATCAAAGACTTAAGTCAGCAAACGTGCATTATGTTTTTTCATTTAATTTTTGGATATCAAATGTTTTAAAATTGATTTCATTTTCAGTTCATTTAAATATGTGTGTGTATCAATGCATGCAGAATTGAAGGGCAATGTAAATTATATATCTGTCCATTTTATTTGAATGAGGACTTCCTGCAAATAAAATTCCTTAAAAAAAAACCTTGCAACATAAATCTAGAGTTTTTTTTCAATCATCTTATGAAATATAAATAGATGCATAAAACATATCAGCCTTGAGAGGATTTCTAAAGTTAGCAAAGTCTGCTTACTTAGCTGGCTTTATAATACAAAATGTTCAAATTTTAAAGTATGGTCATTATCTTTTCTGTACTAAGTGTACTTCTATTAATTAATTTCATGCAATCAAGTTGTTTTTTTTTTATACACAAATATATAAAAAATACATTTTTATTTTGATATTTCATGAAGCTAACTACCGGTATTTCAAAAATAAGATTAACAAGAGGCAATTTACTCAACATCCCCCCCCTTTCTTTTGAAAGAAAATTCAGGCAAAAATGAAGTATTCTTCTAAAGGAATACTCCAAGATATACAGCTAAAAATGATGTTTCATCATTGTTGTTAATTAAGTTTCAAAAGCTGATGATAAGGCTAAGGGTAAGATTCAACACTACTGCATTGAGCAACTTAAAAAACATAAAAATATAGAGTCACCATCATTAAAAAAATTATAATGAAAGAAAAAATATTACCGCACAACTTGTGAAGTTATCACAATCCAGAAATGATGGCCAACCACTGATCTTCCTTACAATGTCACATGGAGCACGAGCTTTCAGACACATTTCTCTAGAAGGTCTTTCAGCTGTTAGGGTATTGTTGTCACATTTCGGCATGTACACGGAACACAGAAAAGGCTGAACGACTTCCCAGCACTTTGGAGCTGCTTTTAAACCACTCCATAACTGAAGCTTCTCAGCTGCTTCAGCAAGTGATGAGGCATCGCTGGCGAAATCGAATGAGGTATAGGTGAACTCGGGATACAGGGCCGTCCCAAAGCAAGTGGTGGTATTTGATAGAGGAGTGCATGATGTTACACTTGTGTCAAAACAAGATGAGGATGCATATTTGAAAGTCTGAAGTAGCACCAGTATTGAGGAGAACAATGTTGAATTTCATATTGAAAAGTAAGTTTTCAGGTATTCGTCCAAGTTGATGCACCAGACATTCTTTGACCATGTTGACTTTGTTCAATTCTATTGCTTCTTGACATGGTCATCAAACCTAAAGTCATCAGTGACTTCTATGAGTAAACTTCAGTCTGAGTATAATATGACAGTGTTACATCTTCATCTGTTAAGAAAATGTATTTCAACAGAATATGTCTGCTTAGAAAAACATACTATTATACAAAGAGCAGTTGTAATTTTTTATCCTCCAGGTTCTTTCTCAAATGAAAGGCAATGGCATAAGAAATATCGTGAAAAAAACTACATTTTAAACATATTTCTTAAAGAATAATGTATAAATATTTTAATAAACGATAAAGGTTTAAATTATATATGTGCATACATGCTGTAGATTCAACTTTTAGACTTGCAATAAACAATTTGCAAACTTTTATCAACTTTTACATGCATTAGAAATTAAATTACCCGCCAGTTCTACATTCATAAATGTAACATGCCAATAAATTTAAATACATATTGGCGATCAGTGTGGACTAATCTAACAAGTCAACAATAGTTTTGATAAGCTTCTGTTGTACCTACCTGAGTTGCACTATTGACCTACATATTGAATACACAAAAACTACCACGTGGTCTGACAACTTCCGCAGTTTTGTGGGAGGTGTTTGTATATAGATAAATTTTACTTAAAGCCCTGTTCTCTTAGCCCCTTCTTTTATTATCCTAAAAATTTTTTTTTATTAAATATTTTTCAAGTGTTATTTCAATACATATTTAACAATGTTCTTTGGGAAAACAACACTTTTTAAATACCGACCTGAATAATGAATTCTCAGAAACGTCTAATATACAAAACTGGATTTCAGGGATGGAAATGATTTCATTCTCTCAATAAAATAGATCTATGCATTGATTTATCGTTTGTTTTGTGATATGAAAATGACCTTTATGAATCTTGTTACATTATATGATGTTTATCTGATAAATAATAAAGGAATTCGCTTCAAGTTTATAGCCAAATGCAGATATTTTTATGTTCAATTTATATTTGTATCTTATAATTTAATAAAAATCATATTTGGGTAGTTAAATAATAGAAATTGACAATGACTGCTAAATATCATGTCTCTTTAAAAAAAAAATCTTTTTTAAGTTAAATAATAAATAATTTCAAATTCTGTCTGTGTTGGGTCCTTCCGCATATTAGTGGTAACCAATATGGCAGCCCCCTGTAACATGTGAAATCCAAATCTATTGGACAAACATTCATGAAACAGACTTTATTGTCTGCAACAATGAAACTGTAAATGTAATATGTTAACTTTCAAAATACCTACATATTGTGCGTATGGTAATGTGTAGATTAATTCTTGAATCGTTTTATTTAAACAGGTCATAACTTTAAATTCTGTGAAGATCAAGCAACAGTCATGTCCTACTCTAAACTGATCAATCCAAAGAAGAAGAGACGGGTGTTTGCCACCAAAGAATCACCGTTCCCTGTTCCTATATCAAGCATTACAAGGGAACCAGCCTCAGAAAAGCAATGGCTGTATTACACGGGGGATCTAGTGGGGAACCAGGTTATAGTCCATCACTCAGGAGATATCAGCTTCTTGTACAAAATGGTTAGTAGAACTAGTCAACATTTCACTGAATTGGAATACTTATTCTCCAGCATTCACTGGACATAGTTGTTCAATCATCAGCAGTGAATCAATCTGTTGTATATATTTTGCACTTTGGTGGACAGATTTGATACCTGGTGACCGGATAGCTCAGTTGGTAGAGATCCTGACTGGAGATTGTCGAGTTTAAAATTAAATACTGACTTCCCTTCCAAATCTCAGACCATTGCCATACAATTAAAATGATTCAGGAAATCTTCAATCTTTTCTGACCAAAGTTCTGGCAGAATTTCCTGAATCACTTTATGAGACAGTAGAAAAGTTTTAGAATTGATAAGTGTTGCTGAGATTACCTCAATAACACCTTAAAAAGTCTTTGCAAAGAGAAGATTGCTTTATTTATAAGAGTACCAAACATATAATTATACATTAATCACATATATTATAGGGGTTTTTTGGCAAGGGGACCCTGTCCAGAAGTAAGCCAGAGTTCAATCAGAGATGTAAGGTGGTTTCCTTACCCAAACCTGATGGAGAGACCAACACGTATAGGGTGACCAGTAGGAGAAGGTAGGTCCTCACTAAGAAATATCTTATCATCTTGTAAAAATCATTTTATCTTTATAAACTACCTGGCAGGTTGATATGTTTCTGGAGATATGCATCATCATTAATTTTTTATCTTTCCATACAGGGAAAAGATATTTACTTGCAAATAGATATTAATAACATATTACTACAAATCTGAATGTTGCCATTCCAGCTACTTGAGGAGACTTAATTGGCAGAATGCCAAGTCAGGTGACCCAGAATTTGAAGAATATGACAGTTCACAGGAAGTAGAATTCTGGGAGGATGAAGTAAATCATGCGAGAGGAGAAACACAGAATGTTTTCCATGCAGATTCACTGTCAAGTAATAAGAATAACAGTGAAAATGATGTTCAAGGTAAAAATTTTTCAAATGAGGATTTAGTAACACATTTTGACTTTGAGTTGCATGCCTATATCACTGCTTGACTTTTGAAGAACCAGAATTAAGAGAAATGGGGATCTTGGATTTTCACAACTTGTACATGTAAATTCTTTTATGTGGATTTTCTAAAGTACTATACATTTAGCTTCAGAACTGTAGCTCACTGGTCCAAAAATTAGGAAAAAAATGAGCTACAGATCTATTAGCAGCTAAACTTAATGATAGTGCTGAGTTACAGTACCGACCGCACACAACCTAACACCGGAGCGAACCCGAAGCAGACCCCGGGTTCGCTCAGGGTCCGCTTCGGGTTCGCTTTCAGAAATTTTGGGATCACTCTGGGTGTGCTTTGGGTGAGCTCCGGGTTTGCTCGGCGTTCGCTCGTGGTCAGCCCTTGGTCCGCGAGAGCGAACCCGGAGTTCGCTTCCTGGGACCATTTTACGCACTGATGCGTGAAGCGGACCCCGTTTTAATCTCGCCGCCTTTAAGCCCCACCCCTTGTATATTCTGATACAGTAATGGGATTGTAGATCGATCATTGTTGTTTATGCGGCGATCGATGCATGTACACTGTACATGTAAACAGTGACATTATGGAGAATATTGATAAATTTTCCAAAATTCAACTGCACATTCAACGTAGATTTACATATAATTGATTTCTTTGATTTCTCCGATCTTGGAATTTCGATCCCGAGAAATTCAAAGTTATTTAACAGCGGGTTATTAAGCATTTGTTTTTCTTAAGTTATGAAGTAAAAGCAAAAACAGAAGAGGAAGAAAAAGGTGTTGAATTGATTTTCAGTGTATCGAATGGTGTACAAGTGAAAGCATTTAAACAAAATACCTTTCAAATTCATGCGTTATATACCTGGTAGTTTAAAAATATATTTGTTATTCCTTAAGTTTTGCAAAATCGTTTAAATAGTTTAAATCTTTGCCAAACACGTGAATTGTGATATAGCGTCTATAAATTACACCTTTTGTATACACGTGATATATTTAGATTTCATTCATAGTAGTTACACATTAACAGTTCATAATAAACAGGTTAGGGGGAAACGTAAATTCCGCTATAATAGTGGTATTTCACTATTATAGTGAAATTACGCTATATTTCCCGTCGTGGATACCCTCAATTTCATCCGATACCATGCAAGGCGTTTGAACCGCAAGTCATGGTGGGTATTAAAATGAACAAAAACTGTCATGCTTGCATGTTTTGAATTTTAATTAATTTTCTACCGTTGCGTTTAATAATGCGAGCACTTTTTTTTTAACGGAAGGTGCATTTTTAACATAGCAACCGATGATTGCAGTAGTATCTAAGCCTGTTTGAATCTCACTTATTGTTCATTAACGTGCACAAATTGATGCTTGTTACAATTGTCAACTTGCACTGAAAAGGTTTTATGGAATTAAACAATAAAAGGATTATTTCTGTCTGCATGGTTACGGGTATGGAGGCTCGTTATGGAAAACGAAAAGACACATTATGGCAAAAATAAAAAAAAGAGTGTAAATGATAAATTCGATTTCTATCCTCTTTACAAAATCAATTTATAATAAATAATCAAAAAATTACTTTTTAAAAAATAAAAACGATTCTAGAAAATATATATAATTTTTAATTTCTGCTGGTTAATTGTTTATTTCAGAAAAAAGACTCAATTTATTTTGGTGTCCGGAATATTTGACAAGAGTGCCTGTAACCTTATTTTAAACATGTTCAAATAATTATGATTGGAACAATCTTTTTAACTCTGCACAAATGAATCTTATTTAACACTTTCTAGTTAGGCACTTAGGCAAGAATGATTTAACTTTAAAACCTGAGAGAAATAGCTGTAGTTTTTTTCTTGCTATTTAAAAATATTTATATCTAATTATATTTTAGGAAATGAAAGAATGTAACAAAAATCACACCAGAAGTATTAATTTTTCAAGCTTTTCGAATTATGCTATTGTATTATTGTTTAAAACACAAGGAAACTTTAAATAACCAATCACCACTGCTCAATATTCAACATAAGATGTGTCTAAAATATCTTTGACTCAATTCATATTTTCCACAATCAAAAATTTATGTCAAGACCAAATCGACCGCAAACAATTTAGCATTTGATAAAGTACTATCACAATTTTGAATGCATAACCATGCAATGGAAGTATAAGATATTCAAAGCTGAACTAGAATCACGAGAAGCCTATATTTTTTCATTTTCAATCAAATCTTTTATCACTGACTTCATATGCGTCAGAACCGGGGGAGGGGGGCTTAGCCCCCACTTTTTTTTTATTTTGCAGTGATAGACATTTTCTATGTATTGAAAATTGAGGTTTACCTTTTTTATTGGTTTACCCCCCCCCCCCTTTCAATTTGCTTCCGACTCCTATGGACTTGATTAATCCATCTGATGAGCAAATGCACTTAAATATCTATGTGCGTATTTATTTTTAAAAAAAAATATTTATTTATATTGCTTTGAAGACAGTCTGAAATAAAAATGACCGAACCACGTGTTCCCTGGGTCCTGATCACGTGATAATTGTCCCCCGCTTTCGCGAAAGCGAGGGGACATTAAATCTCATTCGTCTGTTCGTCTGTCCGTCTAGCTGTCCGTCTGTCCGTCAGTCTGTCCGTCACAAAAACTTTAACCTTGCCCATAACTTTTGATTTACTGGAGCTATGATTTTCATATTTCATATGTGTATTCCTTGTGATAAGACCTTTCTTTGGGTACCACCAAATTTGACCTTTCGACCTTGACCTTGCCAACTTTTACTCAAAATTTCCAAACATTTACTTTGGCCATAACTTTTGAATGGTAGGTACTAGGACTTTCATATTTCAAATATTTATTCTTTTGGACAAGACCTTTCATTGGATACCAACAACATTGACCTTTTGACCTTGACCTTGGAAATCTTACGTACTTTGAAAAAACTATAACCTTGACCATAATTTTTGAACGGTAAGGGCTATGGCTTTTATACTTCACATAAGTTATTCTTGTAAAAAGACCTTTCATTTGGATACCAAGAACTTTGTCCTTTTGACCTTGACCTTGGAGTTTTAACTACTTTTTAAGAATTATAACATTGGTCACAACTTTTGAACAGTAGATTCAAGGACTTTTATATTTCACTTATGTATTCTTTGTGGCAAGACCTTTGGACAAAATTTTCGATCATCTCAATTTCAGGGTCAGGAGGGCTTTTAACAACATTGGATACCAACAACTTTGACCTTTTAACCTTGACCTTAGAGATTTACGTACTTCTGAAAAACTTTAACCTTGACCATAACTTTTAAACGGTAAAGCTAGGGCTTTCGTACTTCACGTATGTAATCCCTGTGAGAAGGCCTTTCATTGCATACCAAGAACTTTGACCCTTTGACCTTGACCTTGGAGTTTAAACTACTTTTTAAAAACTTTAACCTTGGTCACAACTTTTGAACGGTACAAACTAGGACTATCATATTTTAAATATTTATATTCTTTGTGGCAAGTCTTTACATGTGATACCAATAACTTGGACCTTTTGACCTTGAACCTAAAAAATAATATTTCGCCCACAAAGACACCGAAAGCGGGGGACCACAATTCTTTGAATTTGCTTGTTCCTATCGTTTATGCAGTATAGGTTATGCCGCAAGGCGCTTTGCAAAATATGGAATCGAAATTATCCTTTTATCATTCACAACATTTGCAGGTCTGTAGCATATTCAATTTTTATGAGCTGAACAGTTTTTGATTTTTTATTAACCATGAACTATATGTACCACGTCGTTATGATGCAACCGGAAATTCAAAATTTCCTTTTATTTCTATATAGTACCTTTTGTAAACTCTTTTTATATAGTCAAAAATTATCAAATATCTTGATGAGAAATAACAATGAAATTGAAACTGTATAACAATAATATTTTAATTTTGTTTATTAAGCATTAAAAAAATATTTTACTTATGATTTTCTACATGTTATCAAAGAAGAAGTATTATGCTGAATTATAAAATAACTTCTCAATTCTGAATTATAAAATTACTTCTCAATTCCCATGTTCACTATCTAACACAACCATGCACAGAAAGATCAGCCGTTGCGATAATAATGGGTCTTTCCGTTTACCATAACAGGCCTCCATACCCGTAACCATGCAGACAGAAATAATCTTTTTCTTGTTTAATTCCATAAAACCTTTCCAGTTTAAGTTGACAATCGCAACAAGAGTCAACTTGTGCACATTAATGAGCAATAAGTGAGATTCAAACAGGCTCAATTACCCCCGCAATCATCGGTTGCTATGTTAAAAATGCAACTTCCGTTAAAAAAAAAAGAGTGCTCGCATTATTAAACGCAACGGTAGAAAATTAATTAAAATTCAAAACATGCAATCATGACAGTTTTTGTTCATTTTAATACCCACCATGACTTGCGGTTCAAACGCCTTGCATGGTATCGGATGAAATTGAGAGTATCCACGACGGGAAATATAGCGTAATTTCACTATAATAGTGAAATACCACTATTATAGCGGAATTTACGTTTCCCCCCAACCTGATAAATATTTACAGGACATTGTCAAAAAAAAAAAATCAGATCTTTTTCACGCTCAGAATTATGGAGCGAGTATGATTTTAATCGAATGAAAAAAAGACAAATAATAATTGTTCTCCTGGCCTGCTACGAATATGATAATATATCCCCCCCCCCTACTTCACACACACACATTAATGAAATTAAAATTATCTTTAAAAAAATTTCTAAATATTTGAATATAAATAAATACAGGAAACATCAAGACCAAGAGAGAGAGAGAGAGAGAGAGAGAGAGAGAGATCATAACTGTATTAACTCTCATCATTAGACCACATTTTAATAATAAAGCCTGATGACTTTTTCTTAAATGTCCATGAGTCGTCCTCCTGATCCCGTACTTGAATTGTTTTCTATAAGCCTGCTGCGATAATTTTTTTTCCCAAAAATATACAGGAAGACGTACATGTACATGCAATTTTTTTCATGCCCAATTAAAAAAATCAATAATTTTGATGTGAATTTTAAATAATTTAAAGGAACACGTTAATAGAAAAAATGGAAATAAAAATATTGAATAATCGGCACGTAAATATTGTTGTACTGTTGGTATCTTGAGTTATGATGAAATTTTACAATAATTGTCAAAACCAACTATATTTCTTATCTCCTCTTTTTGTCAGTAAATATTGTAATACCAATTATTGATTTTTTTTTTTACGTATTGACTGATGTATTTACCCAATTTATTTACACATGGGCTTTAAATACTGGTATAAAGAACTAAAAAAAAATAAAAATACGTAAATATTCATGTATCATTCTACGTGGAAAATTAAAATATATAATTTATTAATTGCTTTATTAAAAAAAAACAAAATAAATATATAAATATAAAATACAACCCAGAGAATTAAAATAAATAAATATAGAATAATATTTTGTACATTTAATATTTTAATTATCATAATAGATTTACACTGTAACTTAACACGTTTTGATTGTATGTACAATGTTTGGTTTTATATTGAATTAAATCAACAAGTTCGATCTTTTATCCCAATCGACAGATCAATATGCTATTTTGATTGGTTGACGCGCTGATTGGTTAATCGGTAATACTGATTGACAGCTCTTTAAAGAAATACCGAACTCGCCTTTGCTCTCTGGGACCGCTACTGAATTTGGGGTTCGCTCTCTGGGTCTGCTTCAGGTTTGCTCGGGGTCCGCTATGGGTTCGCTTTGGGTGCGCTCCGGGTTCGCTCGGGGTCAGCCCTTTACCCCGACAAACCCGAATAAGGGTTGGGTTCGCTTTCTGTTAGGTTGTGTCCGGTCGGTACTGTATAGGCATTTTTTTTGGCTTTATGGATCAGTCACAATAAATGCTAATAAAATGCTAATAAAATGTTAAACCATCACTACATAAGTATTTTTAAATCTCAGGTGTTGATTTGATTGATCAAGATACTAGCCAATCACCCGAAGAGGATGAATGGTCAGCAGCTGTGGAATCATGGGATAATGCAGAGGCTGATGAGGATTTCTGGGGAGTGGATCCGAAAGAGGACACAATTAAAACCCCATCCTCATCAAGTCTTAAAACAATGACTCATGATATGACAGCTAAAAGAAAAAGAGAAGATGAATGGGAAGATTCCAGGGAAGATACTGACTTCTGGTGTAGTGAAAATTCAAACACTGCCTCTAATCCAGACAAAAATTCATATGTTCCATCAAGTTCTCAAAATGACATCATCCCATCAAAGGATTTCCCTCAGAATTCTGCTGCTAAAGAAAATGTAGATGAAGAACCTTCAAAATTTGTGCCAAATGTTGAAAACTGTAACATGAATAAGCAGACTGAATCTCCGCATAGGAATTTAATTGAAACAATTGTGATGGATGTTCAAACTAGTTCAGATAAAGAATTATCAGATAAAAAGGAAGACGAACAAGTTGATCCATTGTGTGAGTCTGACAAAGAACAGGGAGAGTTGTTTGTGATGGAAGACTCTGAAAATGAAAGTGAAAATAGGAAAAGAAAATGGAAAGAACTGACATGGAAACCAGTGGTTAAAGAGGATCCCTACTTTGTCAAGGAATTCCTACATCTTACATTCCAAGAGGTGATTATAAATTATTCAATTTACTACAGTTCCTTTAATTTATACATGTTTGTTAACGACGTTCGATCCTGATATTTAAAGTCTTAAACTTTTTTTGCCAAGTATATTTTAAGTTTCTACTTACATAGCTTAATTAAAATTCAAATAAAAAAATGGGGGTCAATATGCTTCTTTTGGCGCTACAATACATTTAATATGACCTTCTTGCACTGAAATTTGTGTCTTAATTAAAAATTACACCTTCGACGTTTTCCCTGCAATAATTTTATCCAATTAAAGCAAGAAACAAAATGAACTGCAAGTCTATTTAAAAAAAGACACTTTAAAATTGTAACTAAGAAAAAGTTTCAAATTAATTCGCATAATCAATTATTTGACCTTTCTGCACTAATAAAATGTGATTTTTATGGCATTGAAAATTTAATAAGCAAGAAAATTATTTTAAAGTCTTAAACTTTTTCTGAATTTAAGCAAATAGGTCAAAGTTATCTTGAATATTTAGAAAAGAACATCAAAAGTGGGGGTATATGATGTTAATTTTCAGATATAACTAAAAAAGTGTAAATTTTACGTTAAATTTGGCTCAATTTTTTCCCAGGTTTTCAGAATATATTTGCTATATTTGTCGCACTTTGTTGATAGAATTCATAAGAAATAATTTAATAGATATTTCAGAACCAGCATGACACATTTTACTGCAAAAAACAGCTTTGTGTGCAACCAGAATGGAAAAATAGGAATCCAAAATAAAGAGTACTGTTATAGTTCAAAAGGGAAAAACTGATGATTTTCGTCTAAAAAACCTTCCGCCACAAAATATAGTCCCTGATTTAATTCAACTTGAATGGAATTTAATCGCGGTTTTTTCATTGAATATAGTTCAATTTGCATTGTAGAATTCAGATTTAATGTTAGAATTTAAAAATGATGCAGAATTTTATAAATAAAGGACATGACCAAAATCCACTCAAAAACTCAGGATCGAACGTCCTTAATTGTCTTCAGAAATCTTCCCTAGAAAAGGTAGTACATATTTTAAAGAAGATTTAATTTTTGTTAAAAATGGATATGTACTACATATTAATTCCAATGCAAAGAATATGTGGTGTATTTTGCATGATAATATTCATGTTTTAGTATTTACATTTTCAATTTCTTTATTACAGAGTTTCTTTTTGAGCTATGGTCTTGGGTGTCTGCGATTATATGAAAATGATAAGGTATGTTGAATTATTGAAAGAAAAAAAAATAGATATTGAGCATGAGTTTTCCTTGTATATTATCAGTCATGCATAAAATAAAAGGATTCTTAAATTTAGCACAGGAAATATTTGGTTCACTCTGGTGTTTTTTTTTTACAGCTTTTAAATTTGTCAGAGATGTGGAGAATATTTTGTCAAAGGCAAGACAGATTTGTCCCCCTTTATGTAGCATACCATTATTACAGAAGCAAAGGATGGGTTCCAAAAACTGGGCTCAAATTTGGAGCAGACCTCAGTTTGTATTTTATACAAATCAGTTTTATAACATTATCATTTTTATTACAAGTTAATATACATGCAATTTTAAATTAAATGTTTCCTTCCTGCCTATGTACAAAACATTTTTGACAGTTTACTTGACATTGGCTTTGGTAAAGTAAAGTGATCAATTTGTATAGACATTACCTTACCAGTGAGAATGAGTGCAACAATGACTGACCAATATAATTTCATGATTTTCTACTTTACAGTTATATATAAGGAGGGTCCACCATTTTACCATGGTAGTTACTCTGTGCTGGTGAAAATGGTAGATGAGAATTTAGCGGAGGAGGAAAACTCACGAACATTGACCTGGACACAGCTGGCTGGACTGAATCGCCTGACTGAACATGTAGCCAAGGTCAGTCAACATGCTGTAGATGTGTCTATATTTACTAGATGCTATGTTTATTTTATGCATATGAACAAATCTCAAACTTTTAAATTCAGTGATTGCTAGTATAACCAGTGTTTTCTGTTGTAGGAATTGATGATATGCTATGTAATCAGACCTAGGCACCTCACACCATCTGACCTCATGTCATCTCCCAAAGTTATCAGTCAATTCAAGGTTAAGGTACTGTAAATACTAGCTGTCATTTTGTTTTGCATACATTTGTATAACTTGAATGACATTTTCCTGGATAACTCGATCTTTGACTTGTTCAAAACTTAACCAACATATGAAGATACATGTACATAGTGATTTCTCCTTCAATTCCATTCTAGCCTATTGATCTATACTTATCATTGACTGGTACATTGTCTGCTTTATTCAGGAGATGGTTGTTTCACGCTGGGTTTCCTCTCAAGAAAGAGAATCCAAGAATTCAGAAGAAATACCTTGACTTTAATATCCATATTGACATTTATTATTGTGCAATATATTTTGGACCTCTAGTGCCTCCACATTGTGAAAGATGTCCAGTGTTATAAATGAATTGAATTTAATATATCGCATCAAATTGAATGTTATTAGTTGTTTTTGTCGGTTGTTTTTAAATTACAGTGGATCTAAAAAATGTTGAGAACATTTTGTTACAAACGCAGAACCTTTAGGATTTCTAATGTTTTTATTGATTTGACAGTTAAAGTGCATTTTTATCAATATCTCAAAATTACTCTTTAACACATTGTTTTTATCAACTGTTTTTGCTACAGATTTATACATGATATGGGTGTATACTATCAATTGCACCATATTCTTTTTAAAGGTGTTATGTAACACCCTAAAAAAATTTATGAAAAATAATATAATAAAACGATATTTCTGTTATGCATTGCTATATGCCGTGAAATAATTTCGAAAACGAACTTGCTACATCAGAACATGTACTATTTGTATTACACTCTCGCGACTATTGTCAGCAGCCAAGTTGAAGCTAATATTGATAATTCGGAAGAAAAGTAATGACTACAATTTGACTTAGATGTGTCTAATTAAACATTACAAAATTGACTTTGAATAATAATATTGTTAAACAAAACATTTTGCCTTTATATCATAGATTTCCTTGCTGCAAAGGCAAAAAGTGCAATAGTGTTGTAAGGGTCAAATACTGTAAACCATCTTTTATTCACAACACTTTATTTCGCAATTTACCAAGGGGTAAACTAGTTGCCCAATTTTTACAATCAAGCCATTTGGGTTCTTTTGTTAATAGACGTGGAAACTGCATGAAGACCAGTTCTGAGCAAGAAATATATTGCAATAACAAGGCTCTTGTGAAAAATTGTTTGCATGCAAAAAAGTTGGTTTACAGTACTCTTTCGGAGAAAAAAAATATTGTTCATTCATTTCCACCCTTGGCACAAAGGTACAAGATTTTGAGACTTTAGAAACCGTGAAGAAAAAGATAATGTATATTTCAATTATTGTTTATAAATTTAATATTAAAATTATGAATTGTAATACAAAATGATTTATAAATATAATTGATAATGTAAATATTTAGATACATTTACATGTAGTTCACAGCACACCACTTTGTATTTTTGAAGTCCTCTACTATAGTGAATGAAATCAAGTTACAGAAACATGTTCTAAGTGATATACTTCAGTTTTTATCTTTATAAAAACATCTTTGCTCTGATAATGAATCCTGATAATTCAATGACTTGTAGTCTCCTTGATGAAGTAGGGGACTTTTCTGTGTTGAAGCCACTCCCCCAGTAGATGATCCTCAGCTTGGAATATCACCTCCAGCACAAACTGACCAATAGAAAAACAGAATTAGTGAAAGGCACAATCACTGACCAATAGAAAATTAGAATTAGCAAAAGGCATTATCACTGGAAATTATATAGTCATTAAATCAAGGTTAAATTGCCAGAAATCACTAGAAAGGTTGTTTAATACAGGTATAATATACACCATAATGTTGAGGGGTCAAATTTTTGTGGTTTAAAGAAATATATATTGGTTCATGGGGATTTGATTTCGTTGTTGAAGAATTGTTCAGTAGTAATATACTAATATGTGAAAAACTGCATTTCTGGTGGATATAAATTCATGGGTCTCACCACACCTTGAAAACCACGAAAATTAGTGATTTCACAGTATAGGGAAACGCGTTGTGGGGGGGGGGGGGGGTTTACAGTCACATATGACAGGGAGTAGCTTCATACAGTGGGTCACTATGGCAGTTTTTACTGTATTTCTTGGTGTATCTACAGTCCAGTTACTGACCTTCAGTCCTCTCTGTACTGGGATTGTAAATAACTCATTTGCAGGTAGTGACATCAACAGCAAACACAACTTTGCCTGTTAAAAAAATGTAAATTTTCTTGCACAAATGTTTGTAGTAAAGTTATATTATTCTTCACCATTTGAAGTAGAAGAAAGTTCTCATAAATCAGGCATATATTTATTTTATCCATGTTAGAGTTATTCCCCTTGTGCTGCGTCATTAAAAAACATCAATCTGAGGAGACATTCATGCACCATAAAAGCATGTTTAATTGTAAAATTGAAATGGAAAACAGGTTGAAATATGTAGTGAAATGGACTACACAGATGTCAGATTAAATTATGTTTCTGATGTATTTTACCTTGGCTGATGGAATACTTTTACTGTCGATGGTGGAGTATCGCCCTATTTCCTTGAGTGTTTTATTGATCTCCTCATCCTGATGTCCCAGGATAGAATAAGTTTTCTCCTGGAGATCTTCAAACCTATGGAGAGATGTGGCTAAGTTTATTTTGAATTTAGAATTGGAAGAAATATCTTATTTATTTGAATACCATTGAACCTCAGTATCTTAGACATTCACCTCAAATACCATGGATATGTCAAAGTCAATTTTATGTCCCAATCACATATCATTGAAATATTTTTCCCTCAATTTTGGAAATCATTTGGATTTTTCCAAGTTATAATGATTTGCTGCCCCATTCGGGCATTGAGTTTGATAATTGAGATAACAAGGTATGACTGTAGTTTTTATAAAACTTATCTTTATTTTATGTATCAGTAATTGAATGATTACTCAAAAATTAACTTCCTTTAAAAAAAAAGAAAGCTGTAGGTTTGCATAAATGAAGATAATTGTACCATCTTAATGGTGGGACATCTGTTATAGCAATATTCCTGTGAGTTGTTCCCCCTGTCACACAGCCATTTAACCTGCTTTTGTGGACCTCAAAAAGGGGGCTCATGTCCTCAAATTCTCCATACTTCATCTTGAAGACAGCCAGCATCTCTCTGCAATGCCAAAAATTGAGATCTTACTAATGAACACGCAACATGATAATGCACACAGTTTTCAAACCATATGACACACATACTGCTCCCTTGGATGGGTCATCAGAATTCAGTGCAATATATCCAACACATTTTAAATGAATTTTCATTAATCCTAGAGATATTCTTATTATTACCTGTCTATTTTTTGTAATTCTTCCTCTAAATCTTTGTGTAGATCATGTTTGACTTTGAGAAAAGACTTCTTGTTATTAGAAACTATGTTATCCGGTTCTAATGTCTCCCTACAATTACAATGACATGGAATGAACAAGACAATCAATCAAAGACATATTACAACACATAACAAAGTTTTATTTAAAATATCCATTAATCAAATTAAAATGTGTTGCATATCTCCTTAAAATAAAGTCTAAATACAATAAAGCAATTCACGGATATAGCGAAATAATTTTAGCACCCAAGCTATACAATGAATTCCTTATATGTATATAAGGAATTACGGATATAGCGAAGTTATTTCATAGGTCCCAGTGACTTCATTATAACGGAGTTTTACTATATTTCTTTCAAATTCTAAAATCCAACTTTTACGACCAGAACACTCTTAATGAAAACATTAGATCCTACTTTTTCTTTTTCTCCTGTAAACTTTTAGGAATTTTGTCCATGGCCACCAGTTGCCAGATAGGCAGTTTCTTGGTGTGGACTGGGCCCGTGTTTCGGTGGTGATCAGCTGCTAGTAAGTCCTTGCGTATCTTGCTCTGTACGTGGGTGGGGCCAGCAGTTGTCTCTGGTTGGGAGGGTTCTGACTGTTCATTAATGGTATGTGTAGATTCCACCTGGGGGGTTATTGCCCTCCTCCTGTCATAGTCAATGAACAAATACTGAATTGGTTAATTTACTGACATAGTGAAGGTATTTTTAGCTCACCTGAGCCGAAGCTCAAGTGAGCTTTTCTGATCACATTTTGTCCGTCGTCCGTCTGTCTGTCCGTCTAGCTGTCCAGCTGTCTGTCTGTCCGTCCGTATGTAAACTTTTCACATTTTCGACTTCTTCTCAAGAACCACTGGGCCAATTTTGACAAAACTTGGTACAAAGCATCCTTGGGTAAAGGGGAATTTAAATTGTTAAAATGAAGGGCCAAGTCTCCTCACAAGGGGAGATTTAGGGTGGGGTCATTAAAAAATCTTCTTCTGAACCACTGGGCCAGTAAGGCTTTACATGGAGGCACCCTGGGATAATGTAGATTCTAAACTGTTCAAATCATGACCCCCGGGGGTAGGGCGGGGCCACAATGGGGAATCAATGTTTTACATAGAAATATATAGGAAAAATCTTTAAAAATCTTCTTATCAAGAACCACTGGGCCAGAAAAGCTGAAACTGATGTGGAAGCACCCTGGGGTAGTGTAGATTCTAAATTGTTAAAATCATGACCCCCGGGGGTAGGGCGGGGCCACAATGGGGAATCAAAGTTTTACATAGAAATATTTCAGAAAAATTTTTGAAAATCTTCCTTTCAAGAACCACTGGGCCAGAAAAGCTGAAACTCATGTGAAAGCATTGTGGGGTAGTGTAGATTCTAAATTGTTCAAATCATGACCCATGGGGGTTGGGCGGGGCCACAATGGGGAATCAAAGTTTTACGTAGAAATATATAGGAAAAATCTTTGAAAATCTTCTTTTCAAGAACCACTGGGCCAGAAAAGCTGAAACTGATGTGGAAGCACCCTGGGGTAATGTAGATTCTAAATTGTTCAAATCATGACCCCGGGGGTAGGGCGGGGCCACAATGGGGCATCAATGTTTTACATAGAAATATATAGGAAAAATCTTTGAAAATCTTCTTAAGAACCACTGGGCCAGAAAAGCTGAAACTGATGTGGAAGCACCCTGGGGTAGTGTAACAAATCATGACCCTAGAGGGCCACAATATGTATTACAAGGGGGAAATCTGGTAAAGAACAGAATGGTAAAAGATTCTCAGGTGAGCGATGTGGCCCATGGGCCTCTTGTTTACCAATTCTTTTAAAATGGATATCAAAAACAAACAAGGAAATTTAAAAATTCTGTTTCGATTATCATTATTTCAGTTTTTCAAAAAAAGTGTTCTTTTATCTTTTATTGAAATATCTTATTTACATAATTTTGATTGGATAATGAAGATAAATGCATCAAAAATATATTTTTTCATCAGTGTCAAATTTTATATACATGTATTTTAATACACATGTTATTTTTTGCCTCTAACCTGCTCCACAGCAGAGCTTTCATCAGGATCCTAGACTGCAGAGTCATGTCTACAGTTTTCTTTTCCTCCAGGTTCATAAGATCCTCCCAGGTCTCCACTACAGGGCCCTGCTGCTGAGGCTGCTGAATCTTAGTCAACCCACCCCACATTGTCTTCCTGACACAAACAATTAATATGACATACATTTCATCAGTAATATCACACAAACTCAACAAAGGTTCATTGGTAATAAATTATAATGGTCAAGAAAATTTACTAAAAATATGGACCAAATGTCAAAGTAGCTGTTTTAGACATATAAAGACTCACTTTTCGAGTTTGGAGGTTTGTACTAACCTTTTAAGCTTGAAGGTTGTACTGGCCCTACTCACTTTGAAATCACTTTTTGAATTTGGAGGTTGTTCTCACTTTCTGATTTTGAAGGTTGTATTCACTTTTTGAGTTTTGACTTTTTACTCCTTTTCTGAGTTTGAAGATTGTACTCACCTTTTGAGTTTGGAGGTTGTACTCACTTTTTAAGTTTGGAGGTTGTATTCACTTTTTGAGTTTGGAAGTTGTACTCACTTTCTCAATTTTGGGGTTGTGCTTACTTTCTGAATTTGAAGATTGTACTCACTTTTTTGAGTTTGGAAGTACTCATTTTCTGAGTTTGGGGGTTGTACTCTCTATTTGAGTTTGGAAATTGTACTCATTTTCTGATTTTGGAGTTTGTACTCACTTTTTGAGTTTTGAAGTTGTACTCACTTTCTTTGTTTGTTGCCACTTTCTGATTTTGGAGGTTATACTCACTTCTGAGTTTTGAAGTTGTATTCACTTTCTGTGTTTGTATTCACTTTCAGAGTTTTGAGATTATACTCACTTTTTGAGTTTTGAAGTTGTTCTCACTTTTTGAGTTTGTATTCACTTTCTGAGTTTGTAGGTTATACTCACTTTTTGAGTTATGAAGTTGTATTCACTTTCTGTGTTTGTATTTACTTTCTGAGTATGAGGTTATACTCACTTTTTGAGTTTTGAAGTTGTTCTCACTTTTTGAGTTTGTACTCACTTTCTGAGTTTGGAGGTTATACTCACTTTTTGAGTTTTGAAGTTGTACTCACTTCTGAGGTTGTACTCACTTTTTGAGTTTGGAGTTTTTTCTCTGAGTTTGGTGGTTGTACTCACTTTTTGAGTTTAGAGGTAAGACCTGTGATCCCTGCCACCTGTTCTAGCATGCCTCTCCCTCCTGAAGCCTCTCTATGAAGAGGTGGATGTTGAGATCGAGACTGGAGCCGAAAACTATCAAAAACACACATGTATATATAGTAAGAAAATAATAATCTTAATTCTATAGAAATTAAACTAAGAAAAACCTTATAAACGTTACTTTTGAAATTAAGGATATCCAATCCTCTGCCAGGAATGATAACTCTTTAGTTTATCATTTAATTTAAAAAGTCTCAAAATGAAGCTTGAAATTGAAATCTTTTTAGGCAATAATTGCATTTTATGCATCTCAGTGAGTCTCATGGTTTTTTGTTATACATACAGATGAGTACCAGTAGTTGCCCTGCTTTCTCTCCTAGTGAATGGGTTTCTGGGTTCAATGACTGGTTCTTTCCTTAAGGCTTTCACAACTTCAAGTTTCAATGGAGTCTGAAAATATAAAAATTTATATTAGGGTGGAAATAATCATAATTAATAATGCTTACGTAAGATACCCCCCCCCCCAAAAAAAAAAATGAAGGACTGTGAGCACTGCAATTGTTCACCAAATAATACCCCATATGTCACAATTTTTTTTAATTTCTTGTCACAACCACATTGAAAAGTGGAAGGGGCACTAACCATTCCTCTCTCGTGACTACCCCCTCGTGGACCCCTGTATTGATTGCTATCAATTTATAAGGTTGACACCTACATGAATTTCCTGGCAACTAAAAATTTGCATTGGGGACTAAATTTTTTTTGATAAGGAGCATAAACTGGTACTCAATTTTTGAGGTCACTTAGAGGCCAGCCATTATGATGTATATTCTTACCTTGGATTTAATTTCTCTGGTCTTCATGTGACTAATTGAAGTTATTACCATGGAGAGAGCTTGTAAATATTGTAAATGGTCTCTTCGTAATCTTTCCTTCTTTAACCTTTCCAAAATAAGACATTTTATAAAAATAATCTTACATGAATGTACATGACATTCTGTTATTAGCAATTTTGCCAAACTCAGTAATATACCTATTGTTTCTAGACATTAATCTTCAGTTTCCTTTTATACTGAGAAAAACTACATTCATTTAGAAATCAAATGCTTTTTTTTAAAGTCCAATATCCTTTTAAAGAATATATCTGTATTTGGCACCTTTCTTTCACATTGTGTACTGGAATATATTAAAACTGCTGTAAGTTTACTATAATATTCTATTATCGATAATTCTTCCATTGTTGTTCAAACTTACGATACTCCACTAGGAATACGGAGCAGCTGATTATACGACTCTTCCTGTATAAAAGACGGATTCTCCCCGATACTGCCGAGGGTTAGGCCACCTAGATTAACAGGAGACTTCAAGGTCATTCTACGAGCTGCCAATTCTTCTTTCATTAAGCTCTGGGTTAAAGGATCTAAATGCAAAGAATCAAATAAATGAATATTTCAGAAATACCTCTTATTTTCTCTCATAGTTCTATCACATTGGCAAAAATTATACAACAGGCAAGGATTTTACAAAGAAAATATGCTTTGATTTTCACCTTTGACCTTAAAAACATATTTGAAGGTTATTGCATGCCCTTGAAAAGGAGAGCTCTTTATGGAAATAGAGAATTTTTGGACTGTGGTGACTGTGATTTTGAAAAGCTTCATGCCTACCTACTGATATTCTCCTGTTCGTGTTGGGGTCAATCATGATGGACTTTTTCCTTCCTCTCCCCGAAGTCACATGATCTCTTTTTTTGATCACATGACTATCTTTGACCTGCTCTATTTCCTCATCTTGAATTTGAAAATCTGGGAGACCCAGTTGTAAATTGGTAAGTGACATCAAAACCATATCACTTTCTTTGGTGCTGCTCTGTTCTTGTTTGTTGCGATTGGTTTCCAAACGCTTTCTGACATATTCTTCATATGGATACCCGGCATGCACTTTGCGGATCATGTTTTTGCTTTCATTTAAATATTGCTTTATCTCTTGGAAGCTGTGAACCTCGGGAAGTTCTATGGCTGCCGTGTCAATGGAGGAACTCTCTTTTACAGCAGATGCCTGTAATAAGTAGATAATAAATGCTGTAAACATATTTAATTCAGTGGTATACATTGTAATCATATTTAGTGTCATTTGTACAGTTTCTGCATGTCTGATTCCAGTAGCTGACTTGTATGTTAAATTATGATTAAAACAAATACATACAAAAATTTAATTATTAATAACCATTAAATTTGAATCAATTGATGAGGAATTTTGCACTTTATTGATTGTTCTAACATTTAATGTTTGATAGTAGCTCTTGTATGTTGAATTATGCAACTGAATTTAACATCCTTTCAGTGCTGCTTTATTGAGATTCTTATTATGTTTACAGTATGATTTTACAGACACTGAATTTCACAGGTACCCTGTTGATAAAGGACTTGAATTTTGTTTTGATTTTATTTTTTCAGTTTTAAGGAATTGCTTAATCAATTTAACATCACATTAAAAAGATGTAAAATTTTCCAAAAATTGCATTTACTACCAGTACTTGCCCACTGCGTCTGATCGAATTTGTTTCAGGTCAGAAATATACCCCATGGAAAATACAGTGAAACATGTTTATAGCAAACCTGCTTATAATAAATTGATGCTTAAAGTGAAGTGATTTTTCATTCCCAATGACTTTAATAAATATGTTTAATTTAAATATAGCGGATATATTGAATTACACTTGTACATATAATGAAGCATTATTTTCCATCCCTGGCAATTGGTTATAAGCATGTTTTACTGTTTTATGAAGAAAACACAATTTTCTACCCTGAGATACCTTGGGGAGAGGCTTGTGGCCTATTGGAGGTAATGTAACTGCATGCTTCCTCTCATGTTTTCCATCTTCACCATGTATGAATAATGGCTGTTTTCTTATCTACAATTGATCAAGAACTCTAGATGATTTCAATCAAATAAAATTTAACATAAATTATTGCAAAAAATTATTTGATAAAAAATATACCTTTTTTTTGAAGATTGTCAAAATTTAAATGACTAAATCACTACATGTATTTTCTAAGAGACTATAATGGAAGCATTTCATTTGTCTGATATAAAAAAAACTTTTAATTGACATTTAAAATATGCCTTTTGATTGTGTTTACCTCAAAATGCATGATCCGTAACACCTTTATTCAACAAAAGTTAAATTAAATTAAAAAGCATAATTAATTTTAAAGATTTCATTTCTCCCATTGAATGTTAGTGGCACCTTTCATTTACTAGATCTTGACCTTAACTGAAAAATGTCTTTTCCTCATTTACCATGGGATCCAAACATTTTGACATTGTGTTTAGTACAAGGTCACAAGTGTCCAGGACCACTTTATCCCCCAGGGCTTTGTACTTTTCCCCGATGACACTTTGGTAGCCCCTGCTGTCATTCTCGATTCTTCGGAGGTAATGTTTTTCCCAGAGATCATCTGGTCTCTCATTTATCATGAAATTCTTTGTCTTGGTCCATGTTTTATGTGGTTGATATGAAACAGCTAAGTAAATTACAATTTAATAATAAATTAACAAAGCATTTGTCTTAAAAGGATTAAATTCTGTAAGAAGCTAGATAATACCCCTCCCCCTTTCCCCCAACAAAATATAGGTCATAAGTTAAGATAACTATGATATAAATAATTTGACCATTAAAGGGACAGGAATAAAAAAAATTCAGCTATTTATAATTTAAAAACTAACTGAACAGAAATGACAAACAAGTATTGCAATATATCTTTAATTATGTAAAAAAAATATATATATATATATTATTATTATATTTTTGAGTTTATTAATTTTTTGCTAAAGTCTTAAAAAATGACAACCTAAATACAGAAAGAAAAAATACAATTTCTATAAATGCATATATATATATATCATTATAAAGTAACTTATATATATATGTATTAACAAAATCACGTTCCACAAAATTTTTCTAATCCACAAAAATTCGTCCCCGCAAAAGTTGACGATCTCCGTTTTTTTTTTCTCCATCGCAATAATAAAGTTAGGAGTACGAAATTTCTGAAGTTTTCCAGACTTTTTTTTACGATTTTGATATTTTGCATGCCAGGAAAGCGTCAGATTTTTCGGACTACAAAGTTAGTGGAAATGGGTTTCCGTTTTCCAGTTCATTTATTTTCATAAAATTATTTTTAGGAATTACCTTCAGGAGCTTTGAAATAACGTCGGACAAGTTTTGTAATCTCCTGGTTGTTTGGAGCAGTGGGTTGTTTCTTGAATTCAGAAGAAATCATAGTTGAAGAGAGTGGATCAATACATCTCTAAATTGACAAAGTTTTAAAGCCCCATTACCGCGAATTCGTCTCTTGGCGCAATGTGTCATAATCGATGACGTCACAATAAAGATATTTTCAAGACCGAACCCGAAGCGTTTTCAACTTACGTCATTTTTTTTTAAATAACTAAATCTTTGGATACTATTTTTTGATAGTCACTGATACACTGAAAAAATATCGTTAGTAAGTTCTACTACACTATTATTAACGCGAATTCGTCTCTTAGCGCAATGTGTCACAAACGATGACGTCACAATAAAGAATTATTTCAAGACCGCACCCGTTGTAATTTCAACGCAAACTTTTTAGCTTCAATTTTACAACGCTGTACTTTAATATAGCCCTCTCTATAGTGCTGTGAAATGCATAAGCTGAAGCCAAGGTTAAAGATTTTTTTTTAAAAGTAGTTCAATCTCCAAGGACAAGGTCAAAGGTATTTTTAGACATAACATTTACAGAAAATCTTACAAATTCATGTAAATGATACAAAAGCGTGAAGATCAATCCCTTTTTTATTCCCATAGAGTTAGCATGAGAGGCATTATCCCCCTATCCAACTGAAATACATGTATATTTTTTTCATTTAAGGAAATCGGGTGGTAGTGATAGAGATTCTACCAATGAACAAAAGTTGCGGGAAGATAGTCACGTTTTATCAAAATTTGTTGACAATTTCAGATCAATCTCCATATATACTATACCCCTATTTTTAATAATATTTTGAGAAATGACACTACTTTACTTTTAAGATAAAAAAAATTTAAATACGTAAATACTGGGTACTATAAATGTGTTTATAAGCATTGAATTATACTGCTTAAAAGAATATATATGTAAATATACCCAGATCCAAGTCTTTTTTAAAATACTACATTTTGCCAACCGAAACATACCAATGTTTCTAAGATTTGCCTATATGTCAGATGCAGAGAAAATCCAATTCTTAAAAAAATCTGACTTTTACAGGCGCGTAGCATCGTTTTTGGAAGTGGGGGGGCCAACCTGAGAAATTTTTTGTTTTTTACTTACCTGAAAAAGTTGACAAGCAAAAAAAAAAATATAAAAAAAAAAAAAAAAAGGAAAAATTAAATTTGCCCGAAGAAATTCCTTTTGTAGTTTTTTTTCAAGACTAACTATCTTTCAATTCAAACACTTTTTGGGGTAAATTTTCTTTCTAACACTGCCCTTTGCTGAAATGTGGGGGGCCAACCTTCCTTTCAGTAAACATTTTCTACAGTAAAGGTAATGTCGGCAGAAAATGGGGGGGCCTGGCCCCCCCCTGATACTACGCCCCTGTTTTAAGTAGATATATACCATAGCTGTTACTCTCTACAAAATTGATGTAAATATTTTTATTTTTATTTTTAGTTATGAACAACTTTCTCCTTCTGATTTTATGCATTTACATATAAGAAACAAAAACTGTCGACTGTTATTAAATTTTTAATTCATCAAATGATATTCATGGTAATCAAATGATAATCATGAAAGACATTGTAATATTACATTTCATGATAAATGAAACTGTCAGATTATGATTCACTTATATCATAAATAAGCCGTTTCAGAACATTTGCTCTGAATGTTTTTTTACTTACTCACTTACTAATTAATTTCTTTTCTAGAAATCTAAAATGAACTTTAAAGTAATATACGCCGTATGGATGCCGATTTGTATGTGAAACAAAATGATTAAATGATTTGAAACACATAAAGTGTAATGAAAAAATTATATTTCCACAAAATTTAACTATAAAACTCGTTGTAATAACATAACAATAAGGCAATATCTGCAATCAAGAATTCAGTCTTTTCATGAATATTGATAAAGGAAGTGCGTAAACAGTAGGTCTAAATATAGACACGTATGTCCACGGGAAATTATAGACAACGAGGCACATTGCATTTTGACAACGATTATTAATAAAAGGTTAATATGCGTCATAACAGAGTATAGATGGTTGATACTGATTACATTTAAAGATAAGTTATATTAATAGTAACATGCCATCCATGTCAAAAGTGAGTTGTATCTCAAAGGGCTTACCTCGTTTCTCGCCGTGTTTGTTTATCAATCTAAAAGTAGCGACGGCGTCACGTGGTGGATTTACTTAAAAATAGACATTATTCTCCTTGCAGGATAATAAATACTTATAATTTGATAACTTTATAACGAATTTTATTTAAATGGTGTAATTTACAGCATTTTCGTAACCTTTATTGGAAAACAAAATATATAAATTTCCAGCCGTATTTTAAAATGGCGCATGTTATAACGTATATTACTTTAAATCTGATATCCAAACAATGTATGAATAAGTAAAATCCAGAGGGTAACTCAACTTAACTTTTACAAGACTTTCATGTATGCAGACCAAATCCAAATTCTGCGACCTTATTTACAGATTTTGTTGTTGTTGTTGTTAAAATTATTTTAAAATTTGAAAAAATTGCTATAGCTTTATAACTTGAAAGAATACATTCCCTCTTTTGCTTTGTACAAACATTAAATAACAATCCATGATTAAAAGGCATATTCTGTCTCATTCCACTTCTTTCACTATGGCCTTCTTTCTCTCTGGAACAAATGGAACTGCCCCAGGTTTGCTGTGCCTTCTTCTGTTTGATTCCCTGTAAAAATATATATAAATAAATTTAGTAAGATTCAAAAATTGGTGGAATCTTAATGCATAATTTCATCAGAGGGGAAAGAAATACTCATATCATTTAATACATACAGGATAGCTTGGCATTTGACTTTGCCATTTAAATTTTTTTGCCCACAAAATTATTAAAATCTCTACATTTCAGTGTTTGTCAGTGCAGTAATTAGCACACTAGCTTCTAAGTGAGTTGATTGGCAGTTATTGTATGTGAGAAAATAAGATAGTCACTTAATAGGACACATGAGTTTTCCAGTTTCCTCCCACTGAAATGACTCCCTCTTGCCAACATCCATGCAAGAAAGGAAATTTTTCAAACAATCTAACTAAAGCCAGACCTCTATTTACGCTATCACAAAGAGGATCCTCTATGCAATAATGTAAATTGAGGTCTGGCTTTAGTCAGAATGCTTTTGTGAAAAAAGCTTTCAAGCCTTCAAATTTCCATTCCCACCTTTGTTTAGCTGTAGACTTACTTTCGTTTGCGTGACTCCTTCATGATCCTCATTTCTTTAGACAGACTGTATATCTGTCTGGGTACGTGTCGGTGTCGAGCTATCCTCCTGATCTGGGGGTGATGCATGAACTTCTCCTTTATCTTCTCGTTATAATTGATGGAGGCCTTCTCTCTTGTTGTCAGCTACAAAACATTCATAGGAAAAATGATCAAATTGTCATGTGGGTGAATCTAATCAAATGATCAACAAACAAGTTTTCTGTATTGATTTAGATACTTTTCTTATTTCTTAAAACAAATATACAAAAGAACTGTTACAGGTTTTAGGCTTTTTCTTTACGTACCATTCCGAGTTTTTCGGAGGCCTTTGCCTTCCACAATCGGATGTTCATTTCATCAGATCCTGAGATGATGTATTTATTGTCCAAAGACCACTTCACCACTCTAACCCTCTGCATTCTCTTTGTGTGGTAAACCTCTCTACCATAGTCATGCATCAAAATTACACATAATAACAATATAAGCCCATTATATATGTTTACATGAATATGAAAAACATACAGAGCATAAATATTAGTGCAATTCTGAAATTTTAAATTACATACCTGCTACGAGTTGCATCAACATTGAAGATTCTCAGACATTTGTCATATCCAGCTGACACTAACTCTTTTCCAGTAGGAGAATAATCTACATCCATCACTTAAAACAAAAATATAAACAAATCATTAGGTTCATATGCAGTGAAACCTTGCAACCAAAACTTTGAGATATCCAAGGATTCAAGATTTCGAAGGTAAAGTAAAGTACTTAAAGAAAGTGTAATTGGGACTTCCAAATGCACTTTGACATATCCATGCTACTTGAAATATCAGTGTTCCAGATACCTAATCTTAAATGTACATGTATGTCATCTATATTTAGTTTAAGCAATATTGATTTATATGTATTAGAATTCATTCTCACCAGCAGCTACATGGTCCATGAGCATCATAATAGGGGTGTACAAACTACAATAGGATAACTTTCTATATATGTGAAAATTCAAGAGATGTCATTAAAATTCACATCAAAAGGGAATACAAACTACAATACAGAAATTAAGATCCTATTCAAATCTTACATCATTATGATCATAAAATGGAAAAACATGAAAATTCAAGAGATTTAATTTCCCTTATGGAAAAGAAGTTGGACGGTTATTCGCTATTCGCTATTCGCCATTCGAATGGCGAACCGCAGGCTGTCTGCCGTTCGCTATTCAAATTACCGTAAATGTCCTAATAATTTTTTTTTCAAAAAACTTTAAAAACGCATCATAATCCGTGTTTAAGAAGAAAAGCAAAGACTTCACTTAAAGAAGAGGACTGAGGACCCCAAACCTATGCAGCTAGCCTGACCAAAATGATGACTATTTAGCTAGCCTGGTAAAAATTGGATAAAAAAAACTGTTGAATACAATAATAAGTATTTGTACAATGTACATCTTCAAATTTTTACAGGGGAGGGGTATGGGAGGGACCCTTCCACTGTCAAATGGAATTTATGTTACAAGACCGGGAACCCATTTAGCTAGCCCGGAGAAAATTGGAAAAAAACGTATAATTCTATTATATGTATTTCTGAATAAGAGTACATTGCCCTGGGGTCTAATTAACATCGAAGATCCCATATTTAGACCTTCATATTTTTACAGGGGAGGGGTATGGGAGGGACCCTCCTACTGTCAAAGGGAATTTATGTTACAAGACCGGGAACCCATTTAGCTAGCCCGGATGAAATTGGAAAAAAAGTCTTATAATTCTATTATATGTATTTCTGAATAAGGGTACATTGCCCGGGGGGCTGGTTAACATCGAAGATCCCATATTTAAACCTTCATATTTTTACAGGGGAGGGGTATGGGAGGGACCCTTCCACTGTCAAAAGCAATTTATGTTACAAGACCGGGAACCCATTTAGCTAGCCCAGATGAAATTGGAAAAAAAAGTCTTATAATTCTATTATATGTATTTCTGAATAAGAGTACATTGCCCGGGGGGCTGGTTAACATCGAAGATCCCATATTTAGACCTTCATATTTTTACAGGGGAGGGGTATGGGAGGGACCCTTCTACTGTCAAAGGGAATATATGTTACAAGACCGGGAACCCATTTAGCTAGCCCGGATGAAATTGGGAAAAAACCTTATAATTCTATTATATGTATTTCTGAATAAGGGTACATTGCCCGGGGGGCTGGCTAACATCGAAGATCCCATATTTAGAACTTCATATTTTTACAGGGGAGGGGTATGGGAGGGACCCTTCTACTGTCAAAGGGAATAATATGTTACAAGACCGGGAACCCATTTAGCTAGCCCGGATGAAATTGGAAAAAAAAAGTCTTATAATTCTATTATATGTATTTCTGAATAAGGGTACATTGCCCTGGGGTCTGGTTAACATCGAAGATCCCATATTTAGACCTTCATATTTTTACAGGGGAGGGGTATGGGAGGGACCCTTCTACTGTCAAAGGGAATATATGTTACAAGACCGGGAACCCATTTAGCTAGCCCGGATGAAATTGGAAAAAAAAGTCTTATAATTCTATTATATGTATTTCTGAATAAGGGTACATTGCCCGGGGGGCTGGTTAACATCGAAGATCCCATATTTAGACCTTCATATTTTTACAGGGGAGGGGTATGGGAGGGACCCTTCTACTGTCAAAGGGAATATATGTTACAAGACCGGGAACCCATTTAGCTAGCCCGGATGAAATTGGAAAAAAAAGTCTTATAATTCTATTATATGTATTTCTGAATAAGGGTACATTGCCCGGGGGGGGGGGCTGGTTAACATCGAAGATCCCATATTTAAACCTTCATATTTTTACAGGGGAGGGGTATGGGAGGGACCCTTCTACTGTCAAAGGGAATATATGTTACAAGACCGGGAACCCATTTAGCTAGCCCGGATGAAATTGGAAAAAAAAAACTTATAATTCTATTATATGTATTTCTGAATAAGGGTACATTGCCCGGGGGGCTGGTTAACATCGAAGATCCCATATTTAAACCTTCATATTTTTACAGGGGAGGGGTATGGAAGGGACCCTTTTACTGTCAAAGGGAATATATGTTACAAGACCGGGAACCCATTTAGCTAGCCCGGATGAAATTGGGGAAAAAAGCCTTATAATTCTATTATATGTATTTCTGAATAAGGGTACATTGCCCGGGGGGCTGGTTAACATCGAAGATCCCATATTTAAACCTTCATTTTTTTACAGGGGAGGGGTATGGGAGGGACCCATCTACTGTCAAAGGGAATATATGTTACAAGACCGGGAACCCATTTAGCTAGCCCGGATGAAATTGGAAAAAAAGTCTTATAATTCTATTATATGTATTTCTGAATAAGGGTACATTGCCCGGGGGGCTGGTTAACATCGAAGATCCCATATTTAAACCTTCATATTTTTACAGGGGAGGGGTATGGGAGGGACCCTTCTACTGTCAAAGGGAATATATGTTACAAGACCGGGAACCCATTTAGCTAGCCCGGATGAAATTGGAAAAAAAAGTCTTATAATTCTATTATATGTATTTCTGAATAAGGGTACATTGCCCGGGGGGCTGGTTAACATCGAAGATCCCATATTTAAACCTTCATATTTTTACAGGGGAGGGGTATGGGAGGGACCCTTCTACTGTCAAAGGGAATATATGTTACAAGACCGGGAACCCATTTAGCTAGCCCGGATGAAATTGGAAAAAAAAGTCTTATAATTCTATTATATGTATTTCTGAATAAGGGTACATTGCCCGGGGGGCTGGTTAACATCGAAGATCCCATATTTAAACCTTCATATTTTTACAGGGGAGGGGTATGGGAGGGACCCTTCTACTGTCAAAGGGAATATATGTTACAAGACCGGGAACCCATTTAGCTAGCCCGGATGAAATTGGAAAAAAAAGTCTTATAATTCTATTATATGTATTTCTGAATAAGGGTACATTGCCCGGGGGGCTGGTTAACATCGAAGATCCCATATTTAGACCTTCATATTTTTACAGGGGAGGGGTATGGGAGGGACCCTTCTACTGTCAAAGGGAATTTGTGTTACAAGACCGGGAACCCATTTAGCTAGCCCGGATGAAATTGGAAAAAAAAGTCATAATTCTATTATATGTATTTCTGAATAAGGGTACATTGCCCGGGGGGCTGGTTAACATCGAAGATCCCATATTTAAACCTTCATATTTTTACAGGGGAGGGGTATGGGAGGGACCTTTCTACTGTCAAAGGGAATATATGTTACAAGACCGGGAACCCATTTAGCTAGCCCGGATGAAATTGGAAAAAAAAGTCTTATAATTCTATTATATGTATTTCTGAATAAGGGTACATTGCCCGGGGGGCTGGTTAACATCGAAGATCCCATATTTAAACCTTCATATTTTTACAGGGGAGGGGTATGGGAGGGACCCTTCTACTGTCAAAGGGAATATATGTTACAAGACCGGGAACCCATTTAGCTAGCCCGGATGAAATTGGGGAAAAAAAAGCCTTATAATTCTATTATATGTATTTCTGAATAAGGGTACATTGCCCGGGGGGCTGGTTAACATCGAAGATCCCATATTTAGACCTTCATATTTTTACAGGGGAGGGGTATGGGAGGGACCCTTCTACTGTCAAAGGGAATATATGTTACAAGACCGGGAACCCATTTAGCTAGCCCGGATGAAATTGGAAAAAAAAGTCTTATAATTCTATTATATGTATTTCTGAATAAGGGTACATTGCCCGGGGGGCTGGTTAACATCGAAGATCCCATATTTAGACCTTCATATTTTTACAGGGGAGGGGTATGGGAGGGACCCTTTCACTGTCAAAGGGAATTTGTGTTACAAGACCGGGAACCCATTTAGCTAGCCCGGAGAAAATTGGAAAAAAACGTATAATTCTATTATATGTATTTCTGAATAAGAGTACATTGCCCGGGGGTCTGGCTAACATCGAAGATCCCATATTTAGAACTTCATATTTTTACAGGGGAGGGGTATGTATTTCTGAGCTAGCCCGGATGAAAATTGGAAAAAAAAACTTATAATTCTATTATATGTATTTCTGTATAAGGGTACATTGCCCGGGGGGCTGGTTAACATCGAAGATCCCATATTTAGACCTTCATATTTTTACAGGGGAGGGGTATGGGAGGGACCCTTCTACTGTCAAAGGGAATATATGTTACAAGACCGGGAACCCATTTAGCTAGCCCGGATGAAATTGGAAAAAAAAGTCTTATAATTCTATTATATGTATTTCTGAATAAGGGTACATTGCCCGGGGGGCTGGTTAACATCGAAGATCCCATATTTAGACCTTCATATTTTTACAGGGGAGGGGTATGGGAGGGACCCTTTCACTGTTAAAAGGAATTTATGTTACAAGACCGGGAACCCATTTAGCTAGCCCGGAGAAAATTGGAAAAAAAGTCTTATAATTCTATTATATGTATTTCTGAATAAGGGTACATTGCCCGGGGGCTGGTTAACATCGAAGATCCCATATTTAAACCTTCATATTTTTACAGGGGAGGGGTATGGGAGGGACCCTTTCACTGTCAAAGGGAATTTGTGTTACAAGACCGGGAACCCATTTAGCTAGCCCGGATGAAATTGGAAAAAAAAGTCTTATAATTCTATTATATGTATTTCTGAATAAGGGTACATTGCCCGGGGGGCTGGTTAACATCGAAGATCCCATATTTAGACCTTCATATTTTTACAGGGGAGGGGTATGGGAGGGACCCTTCTACTGTCAAAGGGAATTTATGTTACAAGACCGGGAACCCATTTAGCTAGCCCGGATGAAATTGGAAAAAAAGTCTTATAATTCTATTATATGTATTTCTGAATAAGGGTACATTGCCCGGGGGGCTGGTTAACATCGAAGATCCCATATTTAGACCTTCATATTTTTACAGGGGAGGGGTATGGGAGGGACCCTTTAACTGTTAAAAGGAATTTGTGTTACAAGACCGGGAACCCATTTAGCTAGCCCGGAGAAAATTGGAAAAAAACGTATAATTCTATTATATGTATTTCCTAATAAGGGTACATTGCCCGGGGGTCT